CAAAAAGGAGTTGTGGGGGGATCACAAAGGTTATTGTAGGGGACGTGGGGTTTGCGGTATTTCTACCCTTACTTCTGTGCTGCTGCTGACGGCGGCGCTGCCTGCAGAGCTGGGCTCCCAGCCAGCAGCCACCGCTCTCCAGTTGCCCAGCTCTGAAGGCAGCGCAGAAGTAAGGGTGGCAATACCGTGACCCCCCCTAAAATAACCTTGTGACCCCCCCTGCAACTCCCTTTTGGGTCAGGACCCCCAATTTGAGAAACGCTGGTCTCCCCCGTGAAATCTGTATAGTATAGGGTAAAAGCACACAAAAGATCAGATTTCACAGGAGACCAAATTTCACAGTCCGTGACGCGTTTCTCATGGCCAAGAACTTGGTAGGGCCTTACTTATATGCATAGCTGCTTCCTTCTCTGTAACAGGCAATACTTAGTTGTGGCTCTTCAGAAATCTGAAAAACAGCATCAGCCCCCCAACTAGGCTTGGCAGAATTGGAGTTTTATTTTTCTATCATTTTGATGGGTTGTATCGATGTTTATTTTTAAGCATTTTTTTGCGGATATTTATCGATTTAAAGTTTCACGGTTGTGCAAAATTATGGGTTTGAAGCCTCTATTTAAACATTTTTATCGATTGAAACTTTCACAGTCACAGGAAATTGTGAGGGGGCGACAGACAACGGGGAGGAGGGTCAGACAATAATTATTTAATGACAGTAGAGGCTGAGATGTAAAAGTTAAAGCTTTAGAACGGTTAAAACACAAATCGTCAACGTCACATGTCAAAATAGACAAAGTTAATATCCTTAACTCCAACTCTAATGAGTTCTCTAGCAGCATTTTTCTTACGCTGCTTATCTGTGCATTTCAATTGTTATCGATGGAAAGAATGTTTCTTCACTTTGGTTTGTGTGCCCACACCCATGTGCGCAGTGAAATGAACGTTTCCTGACATTTACTGATGAAAGTCAAATCCTTCCAAGCTTAACCATAATTAAGCAGGTTTTTTCCTTCAAATCATAAGCATCAGGGCAAGACCTGCGAGGAGACGTAGTGCTGGATGGGGGATTGTGCTTTGAGGGGTGAGCGATCAGGGTGTTTGGATATTTCAGGGATGGCAGACCTTGACAGTAAGGTTCTCAGAAGATCTTGTGCTTAAGAGATTAGGACTCAAGAGACACTGGGTTTCTACCCTGGCTCTGGCTGACACTGGGTACATCACTTAATCACTCTGTGCCTCAGTTTCCCTCTCAGTAAACTGGAGGTAATGATCCTCTCTTTGTTTATTTAGACGGTGAGCTCATCGATTCCAAGGCCAGTCGGGATCATCTAGACTGGCCGCTTGTATAGCACAGGCCAGAGAACTGCCCCGAAATAATTCCAGAGCCGCTCTGTTAGAAAAACATCCCATCTTGATTTATGAATCGTCAGCGATGGAGAACCCACCACGACCCTGGGTAAGTTGTTCCAGTGGTTAATGACTCTCACCGTCAAAAAAATTACACCTTATTTCCAGTCTGAATGTGTCTAGCTTCAGCGTCCAGCCATTGGATCGTGTTAGACCTGCCTCTGCTAGGCTGAAGAGCCCAAATTATTCAATATTTGTTCCCCACATAGATATTGATAGACTGCGATCAAGTCACCCCTTCACCTTCTCTTTGTTAAGCGAAATAGATCGAGTTCCTTGAGTCTATCACGGTAAGGCAGGTTTTCTAATCCTTTAATCGTTCTCATGGCTCTTCTCTGACCCCCTCCAATTCATCAACATCCTTCTTGAATTGTGGGCCCCAGAACCGGACACAGGATTCCGGCAGCGGTCACACCAGTGCCAAATACAGAGGGAAAATAACCTCTCTGCTCCTGCTTGAGATTTCCCTGCTTCTGCATGAGCCCTTTTGGCCATAGTGCCGCACTGGGAGCTCATGTTCAGCTGATTATCCATCACCCCTCCCCCCGCCCAAAAAAACCTTTTTCAGAGTCACTGCCTCGCAGGATAGAGCCCCCCATCCTGCAAGCTCCTTGGAGCGGGGACAGTGTCTGTGCAGCACCTGGCACAATAGGGCTCCTCCCAGGTGCTACGGTAATGGCAGGTAGGTGGAAAAAGCTGGGGGGAGGGCTCAGCTGGACTCAGCGTTCAGCGTCATTCTGGGGTCTGGAGGCGGGTTTGCTGCGTGACGCCTCCTGCCTGCACCCAGTGAAAGTTTGATGGCGGCTGCCTCAGAAATTCTATTTCCCCATTCCTGTCTTTTCCATCTTTGGGGGCTTGGGAATTCTTTGCCCCAGCAGGACAGCTCCCCCGCCTCGCCAGGCCTCTCCAGGGACTCAGTGGTGTCACCGCAACCAAAATTGGGGGCAGGGGTGGCAGAAATGTGCTGGGGGCTGCACAGACACATGAGATCTTGCCGTAGGCACAGGGATAGGAAAGGGCATGGCCACGGTCACGTGGACCAGGATCAGCACACAGGTCTGCGGGCTCACAATCTGGTGCCCTGTTCTCCAGACTAAGTAGCACATGTATGTATTAGTGGGGACCTCCCGGCTCCTCCGGACATTCAGAGCAATCTGCTGACTGATGCAACCACTCAAGAAGCTCACCTTCGCCCCAGGGGCGATATAATTCCTGCTGGCCCGGGCAGGGGGAGAATCTCCAGTGCCCAAAGGTGGCAGCAAAATGCACTAACTGCCGGGCTCATGGGATGGCAGCGAGGGCATCTCTCACATTTGTATCTGCCTGTGAACTCCCCCAAACTCCTTGGCTCTGGTGGTTTGTGCTGGCCCATTGAGGGTGGTTTGCAGATCCCCCCCGGTTTGGTTCGGGCACAGCTCTCATTTTAACACATAAAATCAAATTAAACCTGCCCCCACTCTCTGGCTCCCATGGCCATGTCATGCAGTAGACACTCAGAATGGGATCATGCTGACGAGACGAAAGGTGCAAACAGCCAGGGATTGCTCATCCAGTGCTGAAATGCAGCCACCTCTGGCGTAGGGCACAGCAGCTGTTTATACAGCGATTGCTCACCCAGCACTGAGATGCAGCCACCTCTAGGGTGGGGCACCACAACAGCGATTGCTCACCCAGTGCCAAAATGCAGCTGCCTCTGGGATGGGATTCAGGGGCTATTTATACATGTATCGCTCGTGCAGCACTGAAATGCAGCCACCTCTGGCATAGGGCACGGTGGCTTTTTATACAGGGATTGCTCAGCCAGTGCTGAAATGCAGCCACCTCTGGGGTGGGGCTCAGGGGCTGCTTATACAGGGATTGCTCACCCAGCACTGAAAGGCAGCCGCTTCTGGGGTGGAACATAGCTATTGTCTGACAACTGCACAACAAAATGGTGCAGCAGTTTTAGGGGAGAAAGTATCCTGCTTCTGTTTGAAATTGCGGGGGTATTTAAGGAGGAAAAGTGCAATTACCCAGGATGGAATCAATATCCCTAATCCCACGGAAAGTGCCACTGGGATCTGACAACACTACAAGCAGCCAGGCCTTCAGTTTTGCACCTGATGGACATCTTCAGCAGCACAGCGCCCCCTAGCACCACATGGGGTCAGCACTAACTCAGAGGGGAAGAGCGCCACCTACCCCACTCCCTGCAGCACAGCACCCCCTAGTGGGTCAGTACAGTACTAACTCAGAATGGAAGAGCGACTCCTACAGAGCCACCCATCCCACGCCCTGCAGCACAGCGCCCCCTATGGCCCCATTAGTGTCAGCCCTGCCTCTGATGGAATAGCACCATCTCCCCGTTCGCAGTACCCCGGGGTTGTCTGACTTGTCTCCAACCCAAGTACTGGGCCAGCCTGACCCTGCACAGCTTGGGAGCTCAAAGCGGACACCAGGCAAGGGGCGATGGGTGCTCACATGTAAAAAGCATGGGCCGTTCCCTTTGGATTGGGAGGGGGCCACAGCTAGATTCCACACCAGTGCACAGAGGGGGCTGAAGGCCACCCGATGGGAATGGCAGTCACTTCACGACACAAGGCAAGCCACGCAGAATGGGGCCCCCAGAGGGCAAAGCAACGGAGAATCGGGACCCAAGGAAATTCCTTTGCCAGGGCGGGCTCCAGGCACCTCTGCACCATGTCTGTCACTGGCCTGGGTGGGTGGCTCAGGGGAAGGGAAGGGGAGGGGGCTGACCATTGCTGTTTAAAATATTACCATATGCCTCTTCTGACAATTAGGGGAGACAGCTGTAATGAGAGCTCTCCGGCGATAATCAGCCTGATCCGTCTGGCTCAGCCACGCTTGCCCTGAAACGTCAGGGCTCCAAGCTGCAAGGCAGGGCGGCACCGGGGAGCAGAGACCGTGAATCCGCCGCCTCCCCCGGGGTGACCTGTGGAGCCTACGGCCAAAACCTGCCGCGCTTCCCTAGGCCTGGGGTGGGCAGGGGAGATGGAGAGGCCAGTCTGGCCCAATCCAGCACCCCCTGGAGTGAATGGAAAGTGTCCCATTGGCTTCAGTGGGCATCGGTTCAGGCCCATAGCCTGGGGGAATTGGGAGCAGCTGGTCCAGGTTCTGTTACATCCAGCGCCCATGGGGGGCGGATCGGGGGCGTGGGTGGAGCACGGTGAGCTGTGGGTGTTCTCTGCCCCCCAGGGCCCATACGGGGACCGGATCTCTCACCAGCCAAGGGGGGGGGGGGACGGGGGGGGGGGGGGGGGGGGGGGGGGGGGGAGGTGCACTCTGCTTTGAACTGAAGAGGGGCCCTGTTCTCCCCCCCGGTGCGTTCACCCCTTCTCGCTAGACAGGGAGAGTTTTCCCTGATGTTCAGCCTTTGCTGAGCTCCTAGGCCCTCCCCCCATGCACCGCCCCAACCCGCGCCATCTGGCCATGGGGTTTGCCCCCTTTCCAATAGACACACACCATTGTCCCATCCCCCCCCCTCTCCCCCGCCCCCCGCATTCCCCATTAGCCAGGCAATGCTCAATTCATCTCTCTCCCCAGGTTGGCCTCTGCAGCCCCTTTAACCCGTTAATTCCCAGGAAGCCGGGACTCACCTGCAAAATGTGTCCTCCCAGATGCTGTTCAAAGAGCTTTGTCAGCAGAGCTGCCATGTTCCTCCTGCCGGGACCTGCAGAGAGGAATGCAAGCGGTCAGAGCCGGCCCCCTGCTGCATGGTGCCCGCTCCCCCCAGCCCGTGGGTGCAGGCCGCAGGGGGATACTCTGGCGTTATGGGTGTGATCGTGAGGGACCGGGCCACACCGGTTCCAAGCCTGATGGAACCAGTAACCTCCAGTTCCCTCCTCTTGCCCGAGTCACTCTCCCCACCCCACCCCGTGCCTCAGTTTCCCAGTAAAATGGGGATGGTAGAGAATACGTCCCTAACTCCCCAGGAGCGCAGGGGGGTCATGAGTCAGTGGCAGAACTTTGCCTGTCTTTAGCAGCTGCAATCAGAGGAGCTCAAAGCATTTTGTAAACGTGACTGATTTAGGCCTCAGACACATGCATGCCAGGCGGGCAGGTAAACCCCCACGTGAAGGATGGAGGAAACCAAGGTACAGAAGTTGCTTAAGGCACCGAGTGAGTCAAGGGCAGAAGCAGGAACAGAACCCAGGAGCTCTGGCTCCCAAATCTCTGCTCCCCTCCTAGCGTTGGGAATAAACCCAAGGAGCTGACTCCCAGCACCCTCCCAACCATTAGGTCCTGCTCCCCTCCCAGAGGCAGGGATAGAACCCAGGAGTCCTGATTCCCAGCCCCCTCCAATGCTTTAACCACTAGCCACCACTCCCCTCCCAGAGCTAGGAATAGAACCCAGGAGTCCTGATTCCCTGCCCCACCCCCCTTGCTGTAACCGCTAGACCCCACCCGCCACCCAGTGGGAATTTTCCAAACCATCCTTGGCTTTGAGTGATACCCCAGTGGCTGACAGCTCACAACGCAGGCCTGTTTCACCAGACCTGATCTGCGATGGGGGCGGAGCGCAGGATGGGGTGGGGGGATGCAGACCGAGACCAGACCATGGGGGGTGGGGGCACAGCAGGAATCTGTGTTGGTGGGCTGAGGAAGGAGAGGAGCCGGGATGAGGACAGGGAGGAAGTAGACAGCAGTACAGCCCTTGAGCCAGCACTCTCCAGCCCGGCATCCCCGCTGCAGCTGGAGACAGGGCAGGGGGGAGAATCAGGGTCTCTTGTGCCTCCCAGCATCTCAGCTGTTCTCACTTCGGGGCAAGGCAAGTTGCTGAAATGAACACAGGGTCACGGCGCGCTACTTATGTTCCGCTTCCACCACCCACCTGGAGCCTGGAGGCCCCAAACACTTGGGAGCGTGGAAGCTGTAGCCCTTCCAGCAAGGCAAAATGAACGACCGGGGAGTTCTTCCCCCGCCGGGGTAACAAGCGGGGGGAGCGGCTCTGAGCACACGGGCTGAAATAAGCATTGTCCATGCTGTGAACGTCAATCGCATCCAGTCTCCCCCGGGCAGCGTTAACGCGAGTTATAACTCAAGTGCTGTCCACACACAAGACACCGGTCGCTCAAGGGCAGCGCAGCTTTTAATGCACGCTGGCTGCCGCGCCGGGGGACAGAAGTTACAGCGCCGGTCAGCCCAGCACACCGGCTGCTAACACGACCCCTCTGGGCTGTGGTTTTTTGGCCAGGTGGCTGCTCTCACCTGAGCTAGGCTCAACTCTGTAGATAACTCGAGTTAACTCTCCAGCAAAGACGCTGCCTAAGGACTCTCAGCGGTGTTACTGCATCAGCTCCAACGCGGTGACTCCTGACTTACACCTGGATCAGGGCGATGGGAATCAGCCCCCTTGACTCCAGTGGAGTTACTTCTGATTTACAAAGGGGTGGGCAAGAAGGGAAGGACTGTTTCTACCAGGGATCGGAGGACAAGTTTCCCTGCAGTCCAGTGAAATTTATAAGGCAGTGTCTGTTTCCTGGAGGTTTGTGGGGTGTGTGTGTGTGGGGGGATCTTATAGAGCCACGGTCTCATCCTGCATCTTAAACCACACACACACACACACACACACACACACACACACACACACACACGGCTTGGTGAAGGAGGATTTGCACATCACACAAGCCAGAGAGACCCACTGCACTGGGGAGAGGGAGAGAATTTGCCATTGTCCTTTGAACATTCCAGGCGGATGGCAGTGGAATATTTATCAGCTCTGCATTCACAGCTCCCCCAAAAGCCTGAAAGGTTCACAGGACCTGAGCTTAACCTTTCTTTCAGGCTTTTCTCATTGCTACACAGAGCCCTGGCTCACAGCAGCTGAAGGCAAAGATCCCTGGCTCCTGGGGTTGATGGAGGAGCTGGAAGGGAGGTGGGGGCAGGAACCGAACTGATCAAGGCAACACGGAGCGAGGTGGCTGGGGGTGCGGGGAGGTGGTCGTCTCCGGGATGAAGTCAGTGGTTCCCCATGGGTTTGCCCCTAGAGCTGGCCGAAAAAAATGTCGCCAGAATCGTTTTCCATCAGAAAACGCAGTTTCGTTGAATCCGAAAGGTGTCGATTTCGATGACATTTTTGCTGGAAAAATGTTAAAGCAAGAAAGTTGAACTGATTTATTTTGATTCATTTAGTTTCGACTTCTACGGCACGTGAAAATCTTCATTTTGTTATATTGATATGATATTTAATATCATATTTTATATAGTTTATTCTGACATTTATAAAATAACGCTTTGAGGTTATGAAAAGGAAACGTTCACAGGCTTCCAGAATGAATTCTCTGGGAATTTTCAGTCCATGCGCCATTTTCAAAATTTCAACGCTTCGTTCCAATTCAGGACAAAAATGAGTTCCCCCGTGACAGATTTCCCCCCAGGAGGCAAATTCCATTTTCTGACCAGCTCCCTGCTTCGCCACCTTCCTCAGCTGTCTCCCCACATGGGACAAACTTGTCTCCTGACCCCTTTATGCCCCACTGATGGACTGAACATTTTCTCGAAAAAAAAAAATTTTTTTTCAATAAAACTGGAACCAAACAATTAAGAGTAAAATTGGTTGTGTGTTGACTTTCTCATTTATATATTTTCTTCCTTTGCTTTTTTCCTTCCCTCCATCTCCCCTCACCCCTCCACTCTCTTTCTCTCTGGGGCACGCACACTCTTGCTTTGCTTCTTTTTCCTTCGAAATTGGCTGAAATCAAACTCAGGAATAGCTGGGCAGGGTTATTCAGGAGTTCAGACTAGATAATGATCACAGCGATCCTTTTCTGGTCTTAAAAATCTGTGAGTTTATGGGGGGGGAAATCACTACATTTTTTAAAACTAATCAAAATTGGGTCTGTTCTGAACCCTGTGAAAAGAAAAGAGATTTGACATTTCAAGGGGAATTGGCTTTGTTTTTTCAACCTGCTCTGTTCCCTGCCCTCCCCCGCTTTGTCCCATAAGCCACCTGGTGTGGGTACAAGAACCTTCTCCTCTGCTGCTCCAACTTTCATGTATCCTTCTGTCTCATTGTCTCCCCCATTTGCCCAAACCCTGGAAGCATCACCTCCAACCTCACCCCCAAACCCCTTTCCCATACACTTTCATTTCGCCACTGTCCTCTGTTACCGTAAAACTCTCGCTAATACGAGGATCTTTCCTCTCCTCGAAGAGTTAAGCACAGAACGGCAGTGCTGCTTTATAAAACACAAGGGAACAGCTGTGAGACTCTGAAGCAAGTCACTCCCCCGCCTTGTGCCTCAGTTTCCCCATCTGTAATAATAATTCCCCTCCTTCCTACAGGGATCAGGAAGGTAGTTCCGGTTTGTAAATTGCTTTGAGATCCTCCACAGGTGCCAGATAAGTGCAAAATGATCACTTAATAGTAACACTTTCCTCTCCTACATGGATGCTTGGTCTCTAAGCACTTTACAAAGGTGGCCAATATCAGAGCTGGGTGAATAACAGATTTTTTGATTCACTGGCACTTGTGAAAAGTCTAAAAAAATTGTTTTGGGTTGGACCGAAAACAAAAGTTCTAGACACGTCTGGCGAATGGAAAAGTTGAAAAAAAAAATAGTTTTGAGTCAAATCAAACATTTGGTTCTGACAAAATCAAAATGTCTTGTTTTGATTTTGACAATTTTTTAATTTAAACAAAATAAAATCAAAGGAAACTCTGAAATAGGAAGTCGTTGCAAACTGGAAAAAAAATCACAGTGAAATGAAACAGTTTGAGGCTTTTGTAGTTTTTTGTTTTTCCCTAAACTAACCATTTACCGAAATCAGCACGAAGTCGCAAAACGTTTTGGTGTCGCTGAATCGGCATTTTGGGGCCATGAACCTTTCACCTGAAAAATGTCACCCAGCTGCAGTCTGTATTGTTCTCCTCATTTTACAGCAGGGGAAACTGAGGCACACAGCGGGGAAATGACTCGCCCAAGGTCACCCAGCAGCCCCTGACAGAGCTGGGAATAGTACCTAACTCTCCCACATTGGCTCCTCCACACTGCCTCCCTATGCTATTGCAAAGCCAATTCTGCAGGGTACCCAGCAGCCTAGATTAAATAATGTTACGGTTTATTATATGTATTACGGTAGTGCCTAGGAGCCCGTCATGGGCCTGGACCTCATTGTGCCAGCTACTGTACATATTTTTTGCTATTAGATGTATTATGGTAGCACCTAGGAGCCCCAGGACTCCATTATGCTGGCCCTCATGGACCAGGACCCTACATGCTTGGAGCTGTACATTTCTATTGTTATTAAGTGTGTTACGGTAGCACATAGGAACCCCAGTCAATGACCAGGACCTTATTGTGCTAGTGGCTGTACATTTTTATGATATTAGGAGTATTACAGTGGTGCCTAGGAACTGGTTACCCACCAGTACCCCATTGCGCCAGGTGCTGTACATTTTTATTGCTATTAGATGTATTATGGTAGCATCCCCAGTTATGGAGCAGGACCCCATTGGGCCAGGCGTTGTGCATTTTTATTGCTATTAGGTGTATTATGGTAGCACCGAGGCGCCCCAGTCCTGGACCAGGCCGCTAGGCGCTGTACAGACACAGAACAAAAAGCCAGGCCCTGCCCCAAGGAGCTGGCAGTCAGATGCCTAATGTCTAGCTGCGGGAGTTTGCAACTGATACGTGTCCAGAGCTCAAGGCCCAAATGGGCATGGCTGGA